GTAGCGATGTATGAATACTAATACATGAATATATGAATATGAATGAACGATGAATGGTTACGGATATACGAATATGTGAATATGAATATAAATGAATGAAGAACGATGAATGAATGAGCGATTACAAATATATGAATATATAAATGATGAACGAATGTCGAATGAACGTATCGACGTGAATATGAAGTACGGATGAATGAATGCAGTTAGCCCGCTACCCCGACGACGACCAGCACTACAACGAAACGACGATGACGACGACCCAACGCGCGTACGTTCCCAGACGAACCGACAGGTCGTCGCGACCAGCACTACAATAACGACGACGACGACCCAACGCGCGCACGTTCCCAGACGAACTCACAGTTTGTCGCGACCAGCACTACAATAACGATGACGACGACCCAACGCGCGTACGTTCCCAGACGAACCGACAGGTCGTCGCGACCAGCACTCTTACTAATTGACGTGTTTCCGGCGGCGGCGGTGGCGCCCCCCGGCGTTCGTGTTTGCAGACGATCCCGCGCTGCACGACCTGCCCCGCCGACGCGCCGCACGCCATCATGAAGCCGGACATTGTGTTCTTCGGCGAGGGACTGTCGGATGAGTTCCACGCGACGATGGCCGAGGACAAGAACGAATGCGACTTGCTGATTGTAATCGGCTCCTCGCTGAAAGTGCGGCCGGTGGCTCTCATACCGAGTAAGTATGCTCACGTGTGTGACTTTGTCTTATGTGTATGTCTTTGTCATTTTGACTTTGTCTCTGCTGCATGTGTTATTATGTATTGTTGTCGGATCCTTGCTGAAAGTGCGGCCGGTGGCTCTCATACCGAGTAAGTGAGATACGTATGTGTGGTTATGAGTGTATGCAGTTATTATATACCAAGTAAGCGAGATACTTTATGTGCGGTTATGTATGGTTGTATATGATCATCGGTGTGACATGGCTCGTGTGTGACTGTCTCGCATGGTTATGTGTGGTTACATGTGGTTATGTATGTATGGCATGGTTAAGTATGGTTATGTGTAGGACTTTGTACGTGTGGTTACGTGTGGTTCACCTCTAACCTCTGACCTCTGACCTCTACCCACAGGTTCCATCTCGCAGGAGGTGCCGCAGGTGCTCATCAACCGTGAGCCGCTGCCGCACATCAACTTCGACGTCGAGTTGCTAGGCGATGGTGACATCATCGTGCGAGAGCTGTGTCAGCGTCTGGGCGACGACTGGACAGGTAGGGGGCGCTGTTCCGTCTCTTGAGGCCGTGGCGCGAGGCTGACTCCTCGACGCTTGTGCGGGTGGAAGGTTTCTCTACGTTTCGACAGAAATCAGCTGTTGGTGATAGAATTCGAATTAGAACTAGCTGTTTGATGAAGTAATCGTTACACTAACCGTCGTTAATGTGAAAAGTAATGATTTTTGGGCAATGTTGCCCATCCTTTAAAACCAGTCGGAATTCGGTGGGTAACACCGAACAACAACTAGTCTTATAGACACTTTACTTCAAGAAGCGATCAGATAAGGCATGCTTGGCCAATTGGATTCAATTAAAAAAAAACATGACGTCTTGCTAAAGGTACGCATGAAAAATAGTTACAGGCGATAGTACTGTGACAGCAATGCTTAAACAAGCATTCTAAATCTGTCTGTAATCGATATCTGTCGGCGCAGGTACGGACGACGACGCGCCACCTCCGCTCACCGAACTCACCGACCTTCCCGTCTCTCCTGACGACGACGCCGCCGCGGCCCCCGACGACGACAGACTCGAGAGCGACGCCGGCGCGACGGGGGCGCCACCGGCCGATGCGCCGATGCCGCCGGAGGAGAGGTCGGACCTCCAGGGGGCGCCGAGCGAGCGCAGCGGCGACCGACTCTCGTGCCACGACGAGTCGAGTTCCATGTCCGTCGCGAGCCAGCGCACCGAGATGACGTCGCTGTCCGTCGACACCGACGTCGGCGGCGGCGCCCCCTACGTCAGCGGCGGCGCCCCCTACGTCGGCGGCGGCGCCCCCTACGTCGGTGGCGGCGGCCCCTACGAGGTGTCGATGGACACGGACGGGGTCGGTGACGCGGCGGAGGGCGGCGGCGGCGGAAAGGTCGCGACCCCGAGCAACTGCCACCGGCACAACCAGCATGAGATCGACGAGCTGATGTCGGCGCGCACGGACACCGAGGAGCTGAGGAAGTGCTTCTCCCCCTGCAGAGGGCAGCAGCGAACCAGCCTCGCCAAGAAACTACCCGGTAATGGACGGGGGCGGTCTAGATTTGACGCGTGGCGTGTCAGCGCAGATAAGTTACAACTCGTGTTGTCTACCGAAAACGATGTGAGCGGTTGAGACGGAGATTCGTGCCGAAGAGTTACATGTTGTGACTTTTATCATCGTGTTCTAGCAAAATTTCGTCTGTTTTCGTCTCGCACTATTGTGTCGAGTAATCGACCGAAAAAAAGAGATCGCACGCGAGAGTGTCGCCGCACATTTGAATTCAGGGTCAAATTCGAGCCGTCGTCTCTATCGCGATCGGAATTTTTTCACGCACCCCCGAGAGAGTCTCCACTTTTCTATCCCCCTGCAACCAGAAACTAAAGTCTCGCCTCTCTTCTTGCTGCTATTCACAACGCGAAATCCCCACAGAAGCTAAAAGTCTCGCCTCTCTTCTTGCTGCTATTCACAACGCGAAATCCCCACAGAAGCTAAAAGTCTCGCCTCTCTTCTTGCTGCTATTCACAACGCGAAATCGCCACAGAAACTAAAAGTCTCGCCTCTCTTCTTGCTGCTATTCACAACGCGAAATCGCCACAGAAACTAAAGTCTCGCCTCTCTTCTTGCTGCTATTCACAACGCGAAATTGCCAAAGAAACTAAAAATCTCGCGTCTCTTCTTTCTCACAGCGAATGCCTTCCTGTTCATCCCTCCGAATCGCTACGTCTTCGAGGGCGCGGAGGTGTATGCAGACGCGGACCCGACGACGCCATCCAACCTCGGCGTCAACAGAACGGACAAGGCAGACGACAGCAGCGCTGAAGGCTCCCTCTCCGACGACGACCGGCCGCGGGGCAATCAGCCCCTAGGTGGCGCCGCCGCGGCCGCCGTCGATCCAGCGGGCGCTGCGGGGGACGTTTCGGAGCCACCGCCGCTGTTCGGGAGTGCGATGCCTGTGGGGGATTGCGGGAATCCGGCGTAGTGGGGGGGGGGACGCTCGACGGACCTCGTGCGCGGCAGCAACCGTGAGTCGGCCGTCCGTAATATTTACTTTATTTTTGTATGAGAGCAAGTATTTATTGGAAAACCGGGGGGGTTTCTTGATGGGGGAGGGTGGGGGGAGGGAGCATGTTCGTTTGCGCGATCAGTGCAAACGAAAGACGGTGGTTATGGCAGAAGGGCAGCGAAAGGCGGTTGGTTGCCCCCGTGGAGCCACGGGCACGCGCAGTTACTATTATACAAGCAAGAGCTCCGTATATCGGACGCAGTGGGGGTGAGGGGAGTTAAGTCACTTGACGTGGCTACCGCATGCCACGGAAGTAGAAGTCGGAGGGGGAAGGATGGGTGGAGAGTGGTGTGGGATGACGGTAGACAGGGCGTAGTTTAAAATCGTGTTGCAAAATGAGTTACAGTGAGGTCTTTTACGGTGTGAATATGAGTGAAATAGGATGCATTTATGTGTGTGCGCGCGTGTTTACAGGTTAAAAAAAGACGTCATTTTTTCGTTTTTCTATATCAAGTCGTGTGATAATGAAATCTGACCCTTGCATGTACGTGTTTTGTAGTGGCAATGAAATGAATTCTTAATGCAAGCATCTCCCTTTAGTAGTAATGCATTGGTCTTGGTGTATGGTTCAGCTGTTGAATGTTTTGAAGGTGTAACAACACTGTTAAAGTGATAACTGTTAAAGCCGCACAATGCGCATCAAAATGCTAATTTCTCCAGTACTAGACTAGCAAATACTTCGTGGCATGCATAATCACACTACCTTATGACAAAATAAACTCTAGTTGCTCCCATTTCACTGCGCGTTTGCTTAAAACCCACAAGAAAGAGGTGAGAAAACTGGCATTCTGGCACCAACGCCCACTTGTTTGCCAAACAATTTAGCCTTGAAGTGGTTAGCTGACGTCACATGTTTTTATCTTTGCTACACTGTTCCAAATAACGTCGTTACAGACAAGCCGCTCACACGCACGTACACGCACACGCACGTACGCACACGCATGCACACGCACACGCACACGCACACGCACCGATGTACCGCAGCACCACTGCACGGTTGCTTGGGGAAACTGTCAACAACATTGGAGGTATTTTCAAATAACTTTTATAAGACAACGCGCAGTGAAATGGGAGGAACTAGAGTTTATTTTGTCATAAGGTAGTGTGATTGTGCATGACACAAAGTATTTGCTAGTCTAGTACTGGAGAAATTAGCGTTTGGATGCGCATTGTGCGGCTTTAAACTTAGCTGTCTATATGTGCATCTGTTATACCTGTTGTTTGTGTTTGTGTCTGTCTGTCTCTTTGTCGGTCTGTCTGTCTCTTTGTCTGTCTGTCTACCAGTCTCTGATGCATGCAGTCTCACATGCATGCATCTGTTTGTCTCTAATGTTTGGTATAAGTTTATGAACTTGTGTATGCTATGAATACATATGCAGCTTATAGAATATATGTGCACAAACGTGTTGTTAGTGGTTTTGGAAAGTTGAATCCGTACACGAGACGGTGAAAATAAAAGTAAATGATGATTCCCAAAAGTTGGCTGTTAAGTTGTTGTTTTTCTGCAGAATGTGTTCTGATCTATACGTAAAATCATATTTTGCTACAATTACAAGTTTAAAAAGGAGAGCACTACTACTCGTCACAGTAGCTTGACAGGAAAGCTGATTTGTGCAGTCTCACTTAAATGATTCTTAGGTTCCCCAGTCTGAAGTAATGCAAATAAAAATTAAAACAGCAAATATTTGATGCCACGAGGATGTGCCATATATTTTTCCGTAACCTGTGCCAAAATAGAAACGAAAATTTCCTTCATAATTCATTCCAATAAGAAACAACAATTACAATATAATAGAGGAAAACCTGCAAACCCATGTTTACTCTTGAGAGAGAGATAGCGAGAGCCAGAGAGAGAGAAAGCGATAGCGAGAGCCAGAGAGAGAGAGAGAGATAGCGAGAGCCAGAGAGAGAGAGAGCGTGCGAGCGAGAGAGTACGGGGCGCCATCGCGACAGGGCATTTTGTACCCTATAAACTTGACAAAAAATGAGTTTTGAAGCACACAAACTCAATCTGTCAAGTCCTGTACCCCACCTAAAACTGACAATTTTGTGAACACAAAACTTCAATCTGTCAAAACCCGGTTCCACAAAACTCAATTTTGTAAACACAAAACTCATTCTGTGGAACGCGGTTCCACAAAACTCAAATTTTTGTAAAACACAAAACTCAATTCTGTCGAACCCGGTTCCACAAAACTCAATTTTGTTGGGCCCAAATATGCACACGCATGGTAAAGAAGGGCTACTATTTTGTTTTCTTTTCTGACCAATGGTAGCCCTTCTTACATGGCGTGTGCCATATTGGCAACCAAAATCGAAATTGAGCCCTGTCCTGCATGGCGTACGGGGCGCGCATGCAAGGACAGGGCTTCAATTTCGATTTTGCTTGCCAATATATGGGCAGCACGCATGTAAGAAGGGCTTACCATTGGTCAGAATGAAAGCCAATGGTAGCCCTTCTTAGCATGCGTGTGCCAATATTTGGTCCCAACAAAAATCGAGCCCTGTCCTGCATGGCGTACGTGCGCGCCATGCAGGACAGGGCTCGATTTTGTTGCCCAAATATGGCACAGGGACTCGATTTTGTTGCCCAAATATGGCACACGCATGTAAGAAGGGCTACCCAATGGGGAACTCTAAATATCGATCCGCCGCTCGGCGGCGCTGAACGCAACTCGGTCCCTTGGTTACCGAAAGCACTAGCGAAAGTAAATAGTTTAGTGTAATGCAACGAATAATGAGTTGTCAGATAGACTCGTCAAAATCGTTTGGTAACAATTGCCGACAGAGTGTTGTCGTACCGCATTCCTGTAATAATAGTGGAGGGCATGCATTTCCCTAGATCTGATGAATCGCGGTTTAAGGCATGAATAACAGCAGTAAGACGAGGAAGAAAAAGATGGGTTCCGTAAAGCATGCCGTAGTATTAATGTTTCGGAGACTATAGCTCTAAGTAACTATAGCCGCTACATACTGCCGCTGCCGCCAGCGGCAGTTAATGTAAGCGGCTATAGTACTAGAGCTAGTTCGGAACACTTCGATGATGATGATTATATGCCGGGACTTACTACAACAGGTAATTATTTTCTCTAATACTAATTCACTATGGTGTAACTAACCTAAGTCATGACTAATTGTAATGACTTATGCGCATAGTACTATTACTACTACGGGTGATGCCTGCAGTGTCCCGTTACGACGGTGGGCGGATGTGTGTGCTGTGACTCGTTCCTAATCCTTAATGTGCATTCTTTCGAATATGATTATGAATCTTTGTGAATGAACTGTATATAGTACCGGCGTTTAATGTTAGAGTCAACGTATTTACTTGATCTTATCAAGAATCAACAGCATAGTAACAGCAATACAAAATTATTTATGATGTTGCAAAATAAATGCGCATATGATTACTGACAGTGACAATGAAATACTGTAAATACAGTATAATAGGCGCTACCTGTATACAGTTACTGTATACTGGACAATGAATACTGTGATACAGAGGGGGAACCGGGGGGGGGGGTACATTCCCACTATTAATTCCAGCAAAAAACACCCCATATCCCACGTTCCAGTAAAAATAAAAATCCAAAATTCCCAGATTCCCAGGATATTATGTGACATGTTTCAGGAAATTCAGTAAGTTTTAGGTTTTCAAACACTCACATAAATACTAATATTTACATACTATTATTTTATCTGGGGTCCTCCATAAATCTGGCTAAATAAATTAATTTAAAAAAAATTAAAAATATTAAACGCAAAAAATATTGAAACCCGAACGAATTGACACAAATTTTCCCAGATCCCAGACAATTTTAGAGGGTGCTTTCCCAACGTCCCGAATGACCTTCTGTTCTCCGAATCACGGGAAATTTAACCTGACATTTCCAGGTTCCGAGGTAATTAAAATGGCCAATCCGCGTCCGATAAAATACCCGTTCCTCCCCCTTATACAGTTACAGGTCTATATGTGTATCTGGTAAAATGCTTCTAGTATATTGAACCCTGTTTACACCTGTTACATAAGTGAAAGATACCGAATCCAATACCTAAATAATTTAATTTATATGGACTCATATTTTTGGCAGGTACCAATGCATAAGACTGCAAAAAAGACTAAAAAGAAGGAACGCTGTGCCACATATATTCCCTGGCAGAAGGCATCAATCTCTAGTGAGTTGGAAGAAGGAGGGAACGAGCTAGAAGGAAAGTGGCATTTGGATGCGGCGGCAAGAAAGTGAAATAGAAAACGGCGAAAGTTGGAGATAAGGCGAATGTGTCATTAATGTAGACGTCTACGAGGAAATTGTAGAAGCCACTGATTGATCACGTTGGAGGTGTTTGGTGCAGGCAACTCATTGGCAGGAAAGCTGTAAGCTGTGAATGCGAGATGTGGCTGAGTCCAGTGTCAGTTAACTCAAACGTTTTCAAGCTACATTCTGTGTCCAACGACCCTAAGGGACTACACTTCTAACTACAAGACTAAGAATTATGGCCAAAATTCCTATTCGTTTTTCAAACACTGGACAACAGCATATGCATCTAAACTATTTCCATAGAGTATCATCCATCGCTGCCAGTGCAGTAAGACGTCATTCTTTCTATACTTGGTCCAAGCTCCGTCAACACATGCCAAAATTTGCAATCTCAAGAACCTTGCCATACTCTGTAAATCCAAAGTCACAAATACTTTGTGACATGGATTAACCTTTATTCACATGAGTGGAGGCGAGCTGCACCTGGTGGCCCGAGTCAAGATCTAGTATACTATTTCACACGCATCTGACTTTCGTGCCAAAATTCAACAACAAGAGTGATTCTAGATGGCACAGATTTCCGGATTAAAAAGCCAAAAAATCACTTTACAACAAGCGACATTTTTCCACTATAAAAAACAAGAACATGGCCAAATTGTGGTTGGAGAACACCAAGGAGGTGCTGATTATTCTTACGTATCGATGCATATGCGGAATCCCACCAGTGACCGTCAGATTGAGATAGAGAGGAGCGGCAATGCAGCAGAGTGTGGCGAACCTGGAGACAGCATAATGGTGGATAAGGGGTTCAAACATACAAGACTCTATTGTTCACGCAAAACGTGTCATTAACCACTTCCACAATTCTTCAAAATAAGAACGGCGTCCCTATCTATATCCACAATTTAAAATACAGAAAGGTTGCCAGTAAACGAGTGCACATTGAAAGATTAATTGGTACCTAGTCAAGAACATATAAAATTTTAGAGCATCGTGTAAACAAAACTGAGATAGCACTTGCTAGTGAGATTAACAACAGCTTGGCTGTCTACCTTGCAATTTGTAGAAAATGCATTGTACCAAGAACAGCATAGATAAAGTTGGTATAGATAAACATTCACAAGAAAAGTATTATTATGTGATATATTATTGTCTAATATATTCTACCTATCATTAGTTGCTGATTTTTTAAGTGTTGTGCCAAATAAGTGTGATGTCTAGTTCATTTGTGAGTCGTGATTCGTAGTGCATGCAGATTGTGATGGGATATGTGCGCCCGACATCTATGTAATGATCCAAAAATTTTTAATTAATTAACAGAAACTCAGATTTGTCTCTTGGTTTGGCATAGATTTGATTTATTTGGCTAATGTGACAAGACAACAGTAGCAGAGTATGTACTAAATATGATATCATTTGTATCAAATACTATATA